AGAACATTACCATCACCCGAGAAGGTTCCCTCTTGCCTCTTCTCAGCTCTTATGTTCTTTTGTGAATCTTCCCAGACAAGGACTCATTGATCACAGATAGGTGATTTGTGATTAGTTTATTTCTTGAAGCTAAACTTTGATCAATTTTATTTTGTGTGAGTTACTTTGATACTAAGCCATACCTGTTGTAGAACACTTCTTAGCAAGTTAATATTTGGTTTGGACTACTCAGAGTGTTCTTGTTTCTGACAAAATCAAAGTTTTAATACCAGTAACTTGGAATATCTGTTTTTTTTTCTTGGCATGGATTACTTGCCAATGACTTGGTTGATTCTTACTAGTATTTTACAAGATAGTTGGTGAGATCATGGAGAGACTCAGAGACTTGAAGGTTACCATGATCTAAGAGGCTCTTGGGGCTGATTCACCTGGTTTCTCCGGATATAGAGAGAAAAAAGTCCTGTTTCAGGCCAGCTGTTTCTTGTGAAGATTTTATTTGAGGATGTATTCACCTCATCAGTGAACCTGAAATATACGTTGGTTTGTGCTGCTTCTTCAGGAATAGGGAGCTCTGTTCCCGTGATAATCTTAATTCCTGAGACATTCCATGGTGGCACGCAGCAGTGAGTGTCAACTTTACCCTCAACTAATTGATTCGACTCCATCTCAATAAGGATACACAGAGCTCTGTTCAACCACCACTAATCAGACGGCAACTAGCTGGAAACCCCAGGCTCTCAGAATGATGTGTAGCCAGAAAGTAAAAATGTGCAAAAATGTCTTTGGTCACAAAGAAGCAGTTTTTTGTTTTGTTTTTTTAATATCAAACAAGAAAGTCAAAGATGTGATCATATGATTATACCTCGTCCTGCACAGTGCTACAAGTTGCTAACTTTATGCAAACAGATTTTCTGCCATCTACTAACAAACTGGGAGATCTGACACAACCCGGACTTGTACTCCTTGCATTAGAGGAGGCTCGTGCTCTCCAGTTCAACTCAGCGTCCCCAAGATCCTGGTGTAAGTTTCCTGTTGCTGCTGTAACAAATTGCCTTAACCTTTGTGGCTTAAAGCTACACAAGTTTATCGTCTCACGGGTCTGGAGGTCAGAAGTCTGGGGAACTGTGATTTTTCTGGAGACTTCTGGAGACAATCTGTTCTTTTTCTTGCCTGATTTCTGGAGGTTGCCCGCATTTGGTAGCTCATGGCTGCTTCACTTTGACCTCTAGTTCCATTGTCACAGCTCCTTCTTTGATCCCCCTGCTGCCTATTTTATTAATATGTTTATTTGCATTTTACTTTTATTTGTTTGCCTCTATTTTGTAAGAACCCTGGTGATTCTTAGGGAGACCCACCCATCTCTCCATCGCAAGATCCTTAACCTAATCACATCTGCGAAGTCCTTTTTTGCCGTGGAAGGTAACATATTCACAGGTTTCAGGGGTTAGGATGTGACATCTTTGGTGGGGAGGGGGACACTATACTGCTTACACCTCAAATCCACACACCCCTTCAGGCTGTGACCTCTAAAGTGTTGAACAACTAAAATTGATTTCCACTAACCTGGAGTTGAATATTTATCTAACAAATAACATGAGAATATTTAAAAAATTGATCCCACCGGACCCTGCCTTCACAAGTCACTATATATTAGTCAATCTTATTTTCTAAGTGTTATATTTAATAATTGAAAAAATAAACAGCTCTTCCTTGTCTCCTGGCTTTCTTCTGTTTTTGTTTTGTTTTATTTTTATTTACTTGGCATTATTTTATATTCCAAGTCCTTTTTCCTTCATGATTTTCTTTACATTTCTTGAGTCAGCTTCCCACACGTCACGCCATCTCTTCCCTCCTTGGTCCCTTGACTGTTCATCTCTCAAACCCTCTTTCTTTTCTGCTGGGGAGTTTCTGATTCTATCGTGATTTGTGTCTTTCTTCCCCATTTCACCGTCTTTTCATGTAATTTCTTCTCCTCACCCCCTAATCCTGCCCTCACAGTTCTCATATCTCTGTCTTTTTCATCTGACAATAGAAAATGATGCACATTTTGAACTTGTGACACTGCCATTTACCAGCAGAACATAGTATAATATCCACTTTTACTGATAAGAGAGCGGCAAAATTAACGTCAGAAATACAGAAGCTACTTAGTAACCTAAGAATTGAGAAAAACTCATCCATACAGAAAAGGTTTCTGAAGCAGGAACAATTTGTCCATCTAATCCAAGAATCATGAAATTTCTTCTTTTGACCTTTCGTACTATTGTTAGCGCCGATCGTGTAGCTGGTGAAATAAATGAGACTTCTTTTTACTTAATTCATGGGTAAGGCTGTTTCAGAACTGTATCAGGATGCAGGGGACCAGGGCATACAGCAGTGGTCCTCCGAGTGTGGCCCCCAGGCCTGTAGTGTCAGCATCACCTGGGGACTTGCTGGAAATGCCAACTACCAGGCCCCGCTCTGGACTTACTGGATTACAAGGCTTGGATGTGGATCCCAGAAATCTATGTTCTGACAAGCTCTCCAGGAGATTCTGATGCACAGTCGAGTTTAAGAACCACTGGGATGTTTCATGTTCACACCAGAGGCCTAGGGAGAAGGGTTCTCTCTTCTTGGCCTTATTCTCTTAATAGGTTCAATTCACTAGCCCCAGTCTCCAGGGATGTCCCTTCCCAATAAACTAAATTCTCTGAATTTTTTCAGTTTCAATGAGCCGTCCCAAATCACCTTATTCTAACTCAGAAATAGTCATCAGGGGTTTGGCATCAGGAGGAAACAGTTCTTAGCTGAAGGGGCTACCCACAGGGCTTAAAGCTCAAGTGGTACCAGCCTCTACACGAATCTCATTCCAGGATCTCACCAACTTGTTCCTGTCTCAGAGGGGCCCACTTCCCATCCATACAATGACGGCGGTGTCACTAAGTGTCAGTGTTTCAACTCACTGAAATCTCTAAAACAAATCACCGACTGACTCCATATGAAAGAAGAAATCCTACCCCTTGTCCCCATCTCGCCCCTATAAAGTCATTCAAAGTAAATTTCGTCTCTACCACGTAAGCCTGCGTTCATGGCAAGTCAGGTCATTCTTAACACTGTCTCCAAATTTGGTGGGAAGTCCGTTGGGCCAACTGCAAAACATTAACTTTACTGAACTGTATTTTACATACAATAATATGCTTCCATTATTAGTGTCCATTACTCATTTCATTGAGTGTTGGCAGTGTCACCGTTGCCACAGTCATGATGTGTGGAACCTTTC